CTCCTCCTCCTCCTCCTCCTCCTCCTCCTCCTCCTCCCCCCTCCTCCTCTTCCTTCTCCTCCTCCTGAAAGGCCTCATGGGACATTTTGGATGCTTTTTCGGCCGACTGGAGACCATTTTGGGCACCTTGGACCGATTGTGGGGCAATTCGTGGCCCTCTTTGACCATGTTGGGGTTCGGGGGGGGGGGGCACTCTTGGCCCGTCTTGGGGCACTCTTGGGCTCCAAAAAATGTGCGCCGTCGCGCTCGCGCTCAAGCGGCGGGAAGTGAGAAGTGCACGCGAAGCCTTCTCAGCCGCCTCCATGGCACGCCGTTCGATCCCAGCCGCTCCAGAGGCATGCCATCCCGCTCCTGTCCTGCCCACACATTCTTTGATATGTGTTTCCAGTCTGCGGCACAAGAGATCCCGACCCCTTCCCTGGGGGTGGTTTTCGTCCAGGGCCAATTGTTGATGGCCCCGGTGCCTGGTAACGGGCCCCAGATGCCGAACATGGGAAACTTGTTGGGATGAAGGACACATTTAGTGGGAGATCGGGTCCCACCTTTCCCCCGGCGCGGCGACCTCCTCGGGCTCGAGCCGAGCCCGAGCCCGAGCCCGAGCCAGCGCCCGCGCCAGCGCCAGCGCCCGAGCTCCAGCCCCAGCCCGATCGCCCAAGCATGGTCGCTCGATCCCGAGCCCGATCGCCCGAGCCCGAGCCCGAGCCCGATCGCAGGCCCTAGCGCCCGAGCTGCCCAGTCGGCTGCGTGCAGCTGGCTTTGGCCCCGCCGCTGGGCGCCCGCCTCGATGCACGGGCGCCTCCGGCTTCCTGGAGGCGCACCCCGCCCTTCCTCTTCCCTCCTCCTCCTCCTCCTCTTCCTGCTCCTCCTCCTCTTCGACCTCCTCCTCCCTCCTCCTCCTCCTCCTCCTCCTCCTCCTCCTCCTCCTCCTGCTTCTCCTCCTCCTCCTCCTCCTCCTCCTCCTCCTCCTCCTCGACTCTCCCCTTTCTTCCCTCCTCCTCCTCCTCCTCTCCCCTCCTCCGCCTCCTCCTCTCCTCCTCTCCTCCTCCTTTCCTCCTGCTGCTCCTCTCCTACTCCTCCTCCTCCTCTTTCTCCTCCTCCCGCTCCTTCTCCTCCTCCTCCTTCCTCCTCCTCCTCCTCCTCTCTCATCCTCCTCTCCTCCTCCTTCTCCTCCTCTCCCTCCTCCTCTCCTTCCCCCCCTCCTCCCCTCTCCTCCTCCTCCTCCTGCCTGCTCCTCCTCCTCTCCTCCCTTCCCTCTCCTCCGCCTCCTCCTCCTCCTCCTCCTCCTCCTCCTCCTCCTCCTCCTCCTCCTCCTCCTCACCCTCCTTACCCTCCTCCTCCTCGTCCTCGTCCTCCTCCTCCTCCTCCTTCTCCTCCTCCTCCTCCTCCTCCTCCTCCTCCTCCTCTGGGAGCCTCGCGGGCAAGAAAAGTTTCTTCCTCTACGGACTTGCTGGTGGCGGCCTCGTCATCGTCCTCTCCCAGCTCCTCCCCCCGCTCCAGCACCCCGTCCTGCCGATCGTCGCCCTCCCCCTCCCACTCCCACTCCTGCCCGAGGTGCCCGGCCTCAAGATGCCGTGACCTCCGAGCGCGCCGGCTCCGCCGTGGGTCACCTCGCGGCGCCCGCCCGCGCGGTGGCCGACGAGCCGATGTCGGGGGGCAGGGGGCGGAGGTCTGGATGGCGCGCTTCTTCGCCCGCCCCCGGGAGAGGTCGGGCTCCTGCGCCAAGTCCCTGGAGAAGGGCAGGCATTCTGAGGTCGTGGAATGGGTCTCGATATGCGGCGCGCGCGACTGCGCTCGCGCTCGGGGGGGTGCCCGTGCCCGGAGGATGGTCGGGGCCCAGACCCCAAGGCCCATTGCGGTCCGATCGATCCGGTTCGACGGCGGTTCGGGCGGGCGCGATCCGATTCGATTCCGATCTGCCGACGATGCGTCGCGGCCCGGTGCTCTCGCGTGGCGGCGTTGTGCATGCTGGCGCGGCGGGTCCGATTCGATTCCGACTCCGTGTCGATGGGGCCCGGTTCAATGCACATTCCGATCATGAGAAGCAAGATGCTATGCTGCCGATGTCCTCCCACGCAGGCTCCGCGGCAGCCTTCGATTTGGCCTTCGCCTTCCCCTCTGCCGCTCTGTTACCCTCTGCTTTCCCTTTGGCCTTCCCCTTGGCCTTGCCTTTGGCTGCCCCTCGGCCCTTCTTCTGACCCTCCTCGCATTCCTCCTCATTCCTCAGCGACGTGCTAGGCGGGGCCCGTCGTCATCGGCATCGGACCGGCGCGGACACCGCGCGGAGGCCCCGGAGGCACGCTGCCACCATGTGCGGCGAGCGGGCCTCCCTGCAGTGCCCAGCGGGCCTCTGCTCCGACCCTGTCTGCAAGGCCTGCACCAACGCTGCCCCTGACCCCCCCCGCCCTCGCCCCGACCCTGCTCGCCCTTGACCCGCCCTGGTCCGCCTCCTCAGGCGGTGTTGGCGCGGCGCATCGTTCGGGTGTTGCTAGCAGTGCTCCTGGCCCAAGGTGAAGGTGCCCCTGACCTCTGGGGGTCCCACTGGGCCTCTGGAGGCCCAGAGAGGGGGTCGAACGCGCGCTCGAATCCTGGACCCTCGAGGAGGAGGAGGAGGAGGAGGAGGAGGAGGAGGAGGCTGAGGAGGCTGAGGAGGCGGAGGGCAAGGTTCCAGTGGCTCAGCAGCTTGCCCAAGAAAAGGAGGCGGAAGAGGAGGAGGAGGAGGATGAGGAGGAGGAGGGGGAGGGGGAGGAGGGGGAAGGGAGGAGGAGGCAGCAGGAGGAGGAGGAGGAGGAGGAGGAGGAGGAGGAGGAGAGGAGGAGGAGGAGGAGGAGGGAGGAGGGAGTAGGGAGGAGGAGGAGGCCGCAACAGCAAGTCCGTAGAGGAAGAAACTTTTCTTGCGCGCGAGGCTCCCAGAGGAGGAGGAGGAGGAGGAGGAGGAGGAGGAGGAGGAGGAGGGTAAGAAGGGTGAGGAGGAGGAGGAGGAGGAGGAGGAGGACGAGGAGGAGGAGGAGGAGGAGGAGAAGGAGGAGGACGACGACAATGAAAACGACGACGACGCGGTCGACACGACGAGGACGAGGCCGTAAGCAGCTGCCACGCGAGTGGCGGCTTGCTGCTTCCTGGGGAGGGGGCGGGGAGAGTTGCGCTGGCGACCTCGCGGGCAGCTGCAGCACCGCGCGCGTTCCGGCCCCGCCTGGCGCCCCCCGTGGGCCGCCGCGGGCTCTCTTGTTTCTTGTGCTTGTCCGCGGCGCCTGCGGCGGGGCGACGGATGATGATAATGATGATGATGCTGATGATGATGATGATGATGATGATGATGATGATGATGATGATGGTGGTGGTGGTGGTGATGGTGATGATGATGATTACGATGATGATGAGGAGGACGAGGAGGAGGAGGCGGACGAGGACGAGGATGAGGAGGAGGATGATGATGATGATGATATGATGCTGATGCTGATGATGATGCTGCTGCTGATGATGATGAGGATGGTTATGATGATGCTGATGATGATGGTGGTGGTGATGATGATGATGATGGTGATGGTGATGATGATGATGATGATGATGATGGTGAGTAAGAAGAAGGCGATGCTGCTGATGATGATGATGGTGGTGGTGATGATGATGAGGAGGAGGATAGAGGAGAAAGGGAGGAGGAGGATGATGATGCTGATGCTGATGATGAATGATCGTGATGATGATGATGATGCTAATGATGATGCTGATGCTGATGCTGATGATCTTGCCGATGCTGATGATGATGACGATGGTGATGGTTGTGTTGGTGGTGGTGATGATGCTAATGATGATGATGATGATGATGATGATGATGATGATGATGATGATGATGGTGATGATGATGATGATAATGATGGGCATGGTGATGATGCTGATCATCACCATGAGGTGATGATGATGATTGAGATGATGATGATGATGATGATGATGATGATGCTGCTTATAATGGTGATGGAGATGAAGATGCTGATGATGATGATGATCATCATCATGATGGTGATGATCAGTATGATGATGATGATGATGATGATGATGATGATGATGGTGATGGTGATATTGATGCTGATGCTGATGCTGATGGTCATGGTGATGATCATGATGGTGATGATGATGGTTGTGATGGTTGTGATGCTGATGTCGTCGATGAATGATGATGATCATCATCATGATGACGATGAAGATGCTGCTGATGATGATGCTATTGATGATGAGGATGTCGATGATGATGATGATGATGATGGTGATGATGGTGATGATTATGATGCTGATGCTTATTATGCTGACGACGACGATGATAATTTCGCTGATGTTGATGATGATGTCGAAAATGATGTTACTGCTAGTGCTGCTGGTGGTTGTGATGGTGCTGACAACGGGGAGGATGATGAGTATGATGATTATGGCGATGATGGTGGTGGTGATGATGATGTTGCTGCTGATGATGATGATGATGATGATGGTGGCGTCGACGATAATATGATAATGGTGATGGTGATGATGATTATTATGATGATGATGATGATGCTGATGCTGATGCTGATGCTGATGCTGATGTTGATGCTGCTGACGATGATGGTGATGCTGACAATGATGATGATGATGATGATGATGCTGATGCTGATGATGATGATGATGATGATGCTGATGATGATGATGATGATGATGGTGATGATGATGATGATGATGATGATGATGTTGATGCTGATGCTGATGCTGATGCTGATGCTGATGATGATGATGACGACGACGACGACGACAATGCTGATGAGGAGAAGGAGCAGGAGAAGGAGGACGCGGCGAGGAGGAGGGGGAAGAGGAGCAGCAGGAGGAGGATAGAGGAGGAGGAGGAGGAGGAGGAGGACGAGGAGGACGAGGAGGACGAGGAGGAATAGGAAGAGGTGGAATAGGAGGAGGAGGAGGAGGAGGCGCGGGAGCAGGAGCAGGAGGAGGATACAGGAAGAGAAGGCATAGGAGGAAGATGAGGAGAAGACCATGGGCTCCAAAGCTTGATCGCCACCGACACCGCAGTTTGGTGTGGCTGTTCAGGTGCAGTTCGGGCCTGCGGCGTGCATTTTGCCACGACGTATTATTGTCTTTCGTTCATGAACTTCCTCGCACTTCTCACACCACAACTGGCAAGAGGAGTCAGCCCGAGCCCACGTGGCACAAGAGAACACGACAAATCAGGGCCAGAGCCAGAGTTCTTTTGAGGTTACACCGCGCTCATTCCTATACCCCTGGGTGGGTGTATGTGCGGCAGCTTTTGCGCTGGCATGTGCGTGCGTGTGCGCGGCATGTGCCCGGCATGTGTGGGCCGTTGGGGTTGGATGTCCTATTGTGCATGCGCGCCTGGGCATGTGCAGGGTCATGTGCGTTGCGTTTGGTGCATCGTGTGTTTGCGCGTGCTCGCACATGTCGGCACACATGCCCGCACATGCCTGCACACGCGGAATAAGTGCGATTCCTGCAGATCCGCCGGGGGCACATGCACGCACATGCCTCCGCAATCCTCCTGCGGATGACCGCGTGGGCACGCACATGCACCCGCAGGCGTTGACCCGCGCCCGCACATGCCCGCGCATGCCGACGCACATGCCCGCGCATGCCCTCGGAGCTGTTTGAGATCTTTAGGAGAGCCTCCAGTGCTTTCGTGGCCTTCGCAGGGCTCCCAGTGTTGCCGCTCGGACGCCCGCCGCATCCGTGTCCCTCTTTGTCTTTGCTCTGGGTGACGCTGTTGATGATGGTGGTAATGATGATGTCAATGAGGATGGCGGCGATGATTCTGCTGATGAGGAATTCATGATGATGCTGGTGACGATGCTGATGATGACGATGACGATAACGATGGTGTTGGTGATATTGTGTTGACGATGACCATGATGAAGAAGAAGAAGGAGCAGGACGAGGCGAAGGAGGAGGATAGGCGGAGGAAGACAGGCGGAGGAGGCAGAGGGGAGGAGCGAGGACGAGGGCGAGGAGGAGATCCCGTGGGCGGCCGACCGGCTGCCGGCCCTTGGGCGCGCCCGCGCCCCCTTAGCAGAGGGCAGGCGGAGGCGCTCTGCGGCGGCCAGACTCGGGGCGGGGTCGCCGCTCAGATCCGGCGCCGGTGAGGCGTATCAGCCGAGTGGGCACAAGAGGCCTCCTCCTTCTGCTCCTCCTCCTCCTCCCCCTCTTCCTCCCCCTCCCCCTCTTCCTCCTCTTCCTCCTCCTCCTCCTCCTCCTCGTCTTCCTTCTGGAGCACCTGTGGCCCTTTGGTCCTCGCGGGGGGTGCTCTGGAGGCAGTGGGGGGAGGAGGAGGTCGGCGGCAAGCGAGGGGGGAAGTGAGAAGGACAAGAGGGCCTTCTCAGGAGGCGGCGGGGCTTCTCAGAAGCCTGCGCGCCTTCTGAGAGGTTTCCGCTGTTTTCGGGAAGGGCAGGACAACCCTCAGAAAGCCGAGGGACTCCCGAGCCTTCTCAGAAGGCCTGCTTGTTCTAACGTCCCCACCGGGCTCACCGCCGAGAGAAGGTACAGATCCGAGCGGCGTTGGCGCGCCGGCGACGCCGGCGCTGGTGTTCAAGGTTGAATCCCGCATGATAGAGCGACGCGAAAGCCCTGAGGGATACGGCACCGCCATAGGACCCAGCGGAATTCATCTTTGAACGATCGGGGCCGCCATCGGTTCCAGGTCGAGCGATCGTCGCGGTGTCACAAACTTTTGCGCGCGCCGACGCCGCCCCAGCCTGCCGTGCCGACGCAGCCGGTGGCCTCGTTTTCGCCTTCCCGGGGCTTCCCGGTGCCTCTTGTCTGGACGCCC